ATTTTGTCCAGTCAAATCCGTATTTCCGGTGGACTACTAGGACACACTCTCCCAAAACTAAAAATTTTCTGTGCCAAATCAAGGCAATAGACCTTTCCGGAGTGTCAATCAAACTTAACAACTGACCAATCCATTAAACAGGAGGACGCACATCTCGACGGGACATAAAAGGTTAAAACTCTGGCATCGACATTCTAGGCGCACGTGCGTCCCTACACGCTGAACGTCACAAAAATCATAGCAACCAGACCATAAGGTTATGTTCTCATACGGCAGCTAACGGTTAGCAGGATCCGGATCGTGCTAACCGTTAGCTGCCGTGCGTCCATGCGAGAAAATCCGATCCGGATACCAACAATATGATGATCGAATCACTGGCCAATAAGAAACTGGAAATTGTAAACGCGTACGTGTGATTGGTTGATGATAGAAACGCCCTCAACTTGCTAACCGATAGCGCTTGCTAACCGTTAGCGTATCAGGATACCGCTACGGTTAGCGCTAACCGATCGGGCGTTCTCACGCAGGTGCTAACGGTTAGCGCTAACGGTTAGCTCCCGATCCCGGATACTAGGGCTCTCGTGAGAACCAGGCTTAAACCGTCAGCGTACGTGACGATTTACCCACGCACGTGTTAGTTGCCTTGTTAGCCACGCGTCTTGCGGTGATTACAAAGACCTATGATATTTTGCACTAACATACTGAAGCATGTTCTTCATTTCAACATTAATTTTACCAAAATTGTGGTGAATTGTCGTTCATGAGACTCACTTCGCAGAAAAATTTAATGAATGTTCTATATATACTCAAATTGTTCGTTTTCGGCATCTTATGCCAACATTGTCAAAATGACAGATTAATGTTACATAAGAATATGAAATTTTATAAAATTCGTAAATTTTAAATTGCTATAACTTTTCATTTTCTTGGTCAATTTTCACAAATCAAATTGCAGTTTATAGAAGCATTTAACAAGCTCGCGGTCAAAAAAAAAAAAGCAGATGTAACAGACATTGCGAAGTACCCAAAATTAATAGAATATAAACTAACACCATAAAACGAATGGCACGCATAAACAAATAATTGACGGCTGTAACCGCAACTAGTATCGGATTTTCAATGCCATAGTAAAGATCAAAAGACTGTACGCACGCGCTATGTTCGAGAGCGGAGATGTGCGTCCTTCTGTTGAATTACCTATATACCTTGGCCAAATTGACGCTTCTATTTGTCACGCGTAAAATCGCGGAGAAGGCTTTCTTGTGTTATAAGAGACCTGCCACCACGAAATGAGAGTAAAGTCGCACGACGTATATTTGAGCTAAGTGCCAAAATACATAAAAACCTCATCCATGGTCGAAATTTTGTTTTCAGTCAAAACAGCTTTTAAAAGTATTTATTTATAACATACCGAAGTTTCCCGGCGAAAAAAAATCATCGGAAGCAAGACAATTTCGTGATTTTTCATAGACCATTATTTGGAAATCTGTCGGTTTCTTTACGTGTTCGAACACAAAATCCTTCAAAAACGAGCATTTTCAAGCCGCTCGTGCATCCTTTCTTTTCGTCTTTGACCCCAAGTGTTTGATATCGTTAGAAAGGTCACTTGTTCACGAACATTCTGACAGAATTTTTAATCGAATACAACTACAGAATCAACCAATTAAATCCATTTTCTCAGAAGGGTTTGGTTACTAAGGAGTACAACCAATGAACACTGAAGCGGTCTCCTCATTGGACAAACCCTACTATGACGCACTTCGATATACTACGCATGCTCAGTTTCAATGATTTTGCTTCTCGCGCATGCTCAATTTAAATGTTTGGCTTCTCGCGCATGCTCTGTTCCATTGTTTACGCGTTTCGTTCCATGCGGAATTCCATTGCGAATTGCAGTTCGGAGTATGATATTGAAAAATATCTATCGAATTTAAACTCAAACAAATCGCCTGGTCTTGACGATATTGATGCAAAATATTTAAAAATGAATTCAGATATATTAGCTATACCTCTAACTTATATGATTAACTTATCACTCACAACTGGAATTTTCCCGGAGAAGCTTAAACTTGCAAAAACTATACCAATTTTCAAAAGTGGAGCAAGGGATCACATGTGTAACTACAGGCCTATTTCTATATTGTCATGTATGTCAAAAATTTATGAACGAATTGTCTATGACCAAACGGTTTCTTTTTTAAATAAGTATAAAATCCTGAATGAAACACAATACGGCTTTAGAGAAGGACACTCTACAAATCACGCCCTCATTCAGACGATTGAGAAAATAACAACGGCAATTGACAACCAATTATTTGTTGTTGGAGTCTTTCTCGACCTATCTAAGGCGTTTGATTCGATAGATCACAAAGTTCTTCTACAAAAACTACCTTATTGTGGCATCAGAGGTCAAGTACTTAAATGGTTTTGTAGTTATTTAAGTGGAAGAGAACAATCTGTAGCTTTAGATAATATACAGTCTGAAAGAAAGTTGGTAAAGTATGGAGTTCCCCAGGAATCTATTTTGGGTCCATTGTTATTTTTACTATTTGTCAATGATATGCCTTCAGTATGTACCAAAACTCAATTAATAACATTTGCAGATGATACCAATGTTTTCTTAAAACATAGTAACATAAATGAAGCATTCGATATAATGAATGAGGAGTTAAAACGCTTAAATATGTGGTTTAAAGCAAACAAGCTTACTGTTAATACCAAAAAAAACTAAATTGATGGTGTTTAGTGGTAGAAAAACAATTATTAACACAGCGCATGTCGAACTCGTCATTGACCAAGACATTATTCAGAGAGTAGACAAAATTAAATTCCTTGGTATCACTCTTGATGAAAAAATTAATTTTTCTCAACATGTAAATGTTATTGCTAGTAAGGTGTCTGCAATTATTGGAGC